CGCCTCAGCCACCCCAGCACATTCAGGAAACTAGCCTGTTGTCAGTATACCTTCATAATATCAAATGTTAAATTGAAGAAAGCTATATTCTTCTTGGCCACATTAAGTGTCTAGTTACTCCGGTCAATATTTTTGAATTTGAGATTACGACTTTTTTTCAGCTCAAGCAGTGTCCCTGCATTTTCTCATTTCTCGGCCGTTACGACACAGTAAGATGACGGGCGTTATAATTTTATGTCAATTCATTTCGCCACACAATCTTTTGAAATTTGTTCTCCAACTATTGCCGCAGTTCATAACGTAATCACAAGAGAATCAAGTCAACATTTAAAGTGCCCAATTTTTAAGTATTCTTAGTATAAAAAATTAAATACCCTATATATTTATACGTCAAAATATTGACATTATTTCAGGTCCCACCTTTTTCGGGGTAACAAAAACTTGAATAAACTATTTTCACTTGTGGGTCATTAAAGTTTGACCTCATATGTTTCTTAACTCGCGGATGACTAAACGTTCTAAGAAAATAAAACAAAATATTTTGGTAGGTTATAAATAATTGTTTTTTCTGAAAACTACTTGCCCTTCTCGTTTTTCGTATCTGTATTATAAGCCGAAAAGAGTTAAATATTTTAATGAGGTCAGAAGAGGCGACAGGTGTCGAATGGTCCTCTCTACGACTGTGGCTAGTGACTTCGATGACGAAGAAACAGAAAGAGGACGACTGTTAAATAATTAATTCCATTTTACATAAACCGACGACTTAATTTTTCTTCAAAACCTAACTTCCGCAAAGTTTGCATTCTAAAAAAAATGGTAGTAAATTGATCCCGTTAATTTGCCATCTTGGTATCGAATACATAGAAAACTACACCGAATAGCAACATTTGGGGCTCGCCAAACTTTCCCGCATACCAAAAACGTCGAAACAATCGAGCGAGATATCGAGCCTGCGGAAACAAAGTTGCTGACAGAATGCGGGTGTACGGACGACTTACATTTTCCGCTTAACTCCCCCGCTCCCTCGGTAGGAGGCCCCAACTTCCGTCCCCAAGGGCGACATATTTCCTTCAGAAGGCCACCCGGCCCATCCCACTCGGCGGTCAGAAACGGGCAGATCCACAGGTGGGGTGAGCTAAATTTGGCCAAACCAAGAATGGGCATCTCGTACGTCCCTTTCGCAAGAGACTGAGAATGAATTCTGACCACCTGGCGATCTTTTGACGTACGAACCACATCTCGGCTACGCTGCGCCTTTGGTGCAGTAAGCGTCCGTCAGATTACGAGAGGAGTGGGGTGTCCGACATTTCCAGAGGGAAGCCAAAAATACGTACATACATAGCCCCACAACAAAAACAAACCCGCAGATATATACCGACTCTACCTGCATAGAACTTCAAGACACTCCTCAATTTCTTTTTATCTATTTATACTCAGTTATTGACGAAAAAAAATATATATAAATAAAATGTTCAGGTGTTCGGAGGTAGACCCAAGGTCTGACCATACCCTCATTACTGGTCCGTACATTGTCCACGCGGATGTTTCAAGTGGCATTAAGGCAAACGCCGTTTGGGCAAATGGAGTGGTGAATCAGCTCGCGATCCTGACTTTGTTAATATCAGCCTGCTCTTGTTCGCCGATTATGTAGCTCTCTTAGTTGTAATGCCATTTAAAATACCAAAGCGGCAGGAGAATTGCGCGTCCTATGTTTAAATTATACGACGTTTTTAATTTTAATTGAAAAAGGCTTTTCATAAATGCCGTACTCACCGCGTATTTATCATGCTCGGTGGACATTAGACGAGGGAATAGCCGACACTGAAAGTTGGCTAATTCACTTAATTCTGGAATCACATTGCAATTGGTGTACCGACGGATGGCAGTTATGAATAGAGGTTAAACCAATTTTGACTGTTTTCGAAACGCCAACAAGCTTTTGAATATTTATAGATCATTTTTTTGTGTCTTTGTCAGTTAAAACTGGCCGGAGAAAGAGCGCCGAGAACATAATAATGATTCATGGAAGAGCGGCATATTGATTTTGTGCGCTTCATTAGTGAGTTTTAGTATTGCGTATACGAGCGAACACAAGCCCTGTGCGTTTGCGTTAGCGTTCCGTGTTCCGCACTGCGCGTGCGCGGAGCTCAAACTGCGGCCTTATATTGGCGCATGGCCACTTTGCACATGCGAATCGTGGAAAACGAAACGCTAACGCAAACGCACAGAGTGGGGCTTGCGTTTGCTCGTATACGCAATACGAAAAATCACTAATATCTCCACAGCGCAACGTCGTCGCATTCACCAAAAACCCGCTGCCAAGATAATGACACGATGCCCGAAACGTACGTCACACAAATTTTGTGCATAATTGTGAACGAACGTTTCAGCGATGTTTAGTGTAGAGTTTGATAATCAGGCGACAGAAACGTGATACGTTATTGGTGAATGTCTCAAAGTACCTTGGCATCTTAAAAAAAAAATGTTTCAAATTATTTAATGTTTTACTGTAATCAGTGCATCAACATGGCAAATATATCGTGACCGATAAAACCAATTATTAACGAGTTAATTACCAGATCTGATATAATTAGTAAACTTGGCATGACGGTCGTTATGTTTTGCATTTCATTGTTAACTGCAGGATACCAGACGGTGTTGCATATTTTACTTTTTAATATAGGAAGCATACCTTACTTGTACAACAGATTCCGTTTAACCCTAGGAAACTTACAACTGTTCCAAAACTCAAAGCCTAGGTGTTTGTAGGTGTTTGTGATAGCCGCGTCCCACTAGAGCGACAGACAGCAACAAACGACAGCGACACACGACAACGAGCGACAGACGACACCGACGGACAACCTGTTTTTCGGAGTCCGCCGTCCCACCTGGCGGACACGACGCAGAACACGGGAACAAGGAAACTTGTTTCCTGGTGGGACTGAAGTCGGCAACAAAACACGGCAAAATACACAGACAAACCGAGTCGGGCGACGCAGTCTTCCCGTTTTGCTAGATGGAGAATTACGCGCCGACAAACACGGCCAAAGAAGAGGTAATTATTTATGTGTTGATGTTTAATATACAGTTCCGGCTGATATTTTTTGTCGTTGTTTACTTCCGCGCTTCCCTCATGACCATCGACACCAAAATAAATCCGAAGCGTTCTTTGTGCGCGATCGATATAACTGATATAACCACGAGGATTGGAGATGGGAGCCCCAGCGTCAGCCACGCCAGAGTTCGACTCGGCGCTCGAAGCGACGTTGATTCAAATGGTAGAAGACCGGCCACTAATATGGGATGTGACCCACCCATCCTATCACAAGAAGACAACGAAAGAAAAGGCGTTCAGAGATATTGCCATCGCCCTGGGCTTCGACGGCAACGGTATGTACTCATTGGTTGTGTTTTCTGCGATTAAAACGTCCGGAGTTGAAACATCTACGCACCATTCAGCCTTCTTTCACGCTCGAACTAAAGTACTGTATTCGAGATTGTTTGAAGTTGTTTACTGCGCTGGCGAGCGCTAGCAAGAAGGTAGCCGCATGCGCGATCTCATCGCGATCGCAGTGCGATTAAATCGCTAGTTTGACAGCACTCGCGATTTGATCGCGATGCGGTAGCGGCTGCAGCTGCTCAGAATCACTGTAACTTCACGCGCATTTAATTACGCAATTTTGTGACCGAAAAGCTATCGCGGCACCGCTGCGACTCGCCTGTACGCGCGCCTCCGGAGTGCACATAACTGAATATGACCACGAGTCCAATTTACACCAAACCACATTTATTCGTCCAGTTTGGTCGACAATTTACAATGTCAGCGAATGAAATATGGTGACACAATTGTAGCATTTGTATACATTTTGATACTTTGATAGTTCTAACAAGTAGTTTAAACATGGCTTGAAACACTCAACAGCATAAAACGAGGTGGCAAGATATATGGAGTGTGAATATTTTGTTTTATTGCATTGCAGTGGAAAAAGTGAAGAACAAATGGGCAAATATGCGGTCCCAGTACCAGAGGGAAAACCGCAAGGTCAAGGATTCGAGCCGCTCTGGTGCTGGGGCCGATGACATCTTTGTTCCAAAGTGGGCGCACTACAAGAAAATGAGGTTCTTGTCGGCTGGGGCTCCTGAAGCCCAAAGCGAGTCGACACTCGAGACCTCCCAGGAGGAAGTGGTAAGTGCCCATTTTGGAGGGACCTTCTTTTAATCGGGAAGGAGCAACACAATTCAGAACACATATCTGTACCACTTCATTCAAGGCATCGCCCAATAATTGACTCTAACAGGATGAGCACCTTTACCCTTAATAATTCCTTAGCACATAGTTGCATGGGCAACACAAGTGTTGGCTTCAGCAGATGTGCCAAATCTACAGGTCACGGCTCACACTCAAACAATGACAAAAAAGTTCTTTAAAAAAAAGGCAGTTTATAGAGATTATCACTGTTCCAGCCAACAAACTGGAATATGGAATGATTGCATCTGTGCTCCACACAAATTTCAGGGGATCCTTTCTCGCCAAATGAATTACCTCTGTATACCTTAGCTTTCGTAATTGATAATTTGCGATACATTCGTTACTCACACTCAATTGCTCTCATGAAAAGCTTTCTTTGTCAGGCTTCTGGTTTCAAATATGCATGTGTACTTTAGAGCTTGTGAATACGAGAATAAAAGAGAAAACACCAAATAATACAAGAAGTGGGATAAAAAATGATGTGCAGGATGATAGCCTCGAGCTGATTTATGAGCCGAGTGAAGAAGCTGTGCAGTCAGCGCCTCCACCCTCCAAGAAGAACTGCCGCCGCACGGAGGAGGCGGCACCGAACAGGGCGGTGCTGCTGCAGGCAGCTGTCGACAGCTTGAACGCTGCCAAGGAGCCGCCGCAGCCGGACGAGTGCAGAAGCTTCGGCGTTATGATGGAGTGCTGCGCCCGCAGCATACCAAGGGGTGCGGACAGGCAGATGGCCATGCTGGCCGCCCACAGGATCATGGTGGAAAACTCAATCGCAGCCAGTTTGGTCGTGGTGCCTGAAGGAGAAAATTAAAAGTTTCAGTTTGAGCTTTATATGGTTTTTTTGTTCCACAATGCCCCACACTTTCTCACTGGTTGTGTGCGGTGCTGAAAAAAGGTACTCAGCAGAACATGCACATTTGTGATAAGCTCTGAGGTAGACCCACCCGTGCCCACACTAGGTACTTTTCTGTTTCAGTGCTTGTGCCTTCTGCACTGCTGCACAAACGTGCTCGGGCTAAACAGTCAAATGGGCTGAGGGAGAGGACACGGGCAGTCTACAGCAAAGCTGTAAACTGCCGGTGCAGAAAAAGCACACAGCAAGACAATATATCAAATTCTACTGCAAGATAATGAGCTTTGCGCATGCTCAGCAAAAAACTTTTCTCCGTGCACAGGGACAACTCCCCTTCCAGATAGAGATAGTCCATTCACAGGCAAAAGCAAGGCAAATTGGACGTGTCAAGTGTTTACACAACATAAGGCGAGTCCACCTTTAAAATATGATGACACTGGTTCTGTGCTAAAACTGCTAACCTGGGGGGTCTTTATCATGTATCGTGGAGTGACAACAGAACCGCATGCTCGTGCCATGCTCGTCCTTATTGTAACAAGCAGGAGTGGGAATTGAACCAAGCATCATTCTGTTCTTCAGTGCAAGCCTTCAGTCCCTGCAATCACTGGGCACAGTGTAGCAGATTTAGCTCGAATAAGTCTGGAGACTAAAACCGGACAACAAACTGCCACACTGTCAGGCTCCTCGCCCTTGTCAAATAGTTTTCTTTTTTTTTTCTGTTATTTTGTGTTGAGGTGCACAGGCCAACTGTGTGCATGTTGCATGTTGCATTTTCACAGCTACAGTGTTAAAGGGATACTGAACCGAAATTTTTGGGTGGAAATTCTTGGTCGCAATGGCATACATAGCCTGTCCTTTACTTCTAAATGACGTTGTTTTGAGCAAGAAGGCGTATAAAATTGAATAAACACGAAAAATACAATTTTACGCGACCCCTGGTGAGCGTCGTGGAAAGCTCGCTTCGTGACGTGCGCATTCTCATTCGCCTCAAAAGACAGACAGAGCCAAGCCAGGCGCTAAGCCGGGTGGCATTTGTTATTGTTAGTACCGGTTGCTTAGAAAACAGCCGCCGAGCGAAGAATCAAGGGGAGCACCAACGAACGAGGAGAATGCGCGGAGGCACCAGGGGCGCAGATGGCACCGAGAATGCGCACGTCAGTTCTGTTACGCCTGCTCTCAGAAGGACTCGCCCGCGCCGGCGGCTTCCAGCCGAGGATTCACTCTTAGTTCAAAGAAATACAATAATTCGGGCCCCATCCGTCTGATTGAATATCGTTTTTAGGTACAGTACGATCCCGTAAAGCCCGCTCGGGCTATAATTATGAGATTTCAAATATCGGTTCAATCGTTTTTAGGTACAGTACCATCCCGTGAAGCCCGCTCGGGCAATAATTATGAGATTTCAAATATCGGTTCAGCATCCCTTTAAACTTGTTTCATATGCTGGAGTGTCGTGTCTCTAGTTTTGGTTGGTGTTGCTGCTATCAACTCTGCTGCGGTCACACTAGCCACCCTGTTCAGTTGGTGTAGGATCCAACATTGCATACACTTCGAGGATCATAAATAATTTGTGGTTCTTCGTGTACAGTAGGAGTTCATTGTTGTCAGAACTGCCTGATGGGGCCCGAAGAGTTAAAAACAGCACTAACAAATTTCTATGCAACTCTGTGGTTTCAAATTGGGCTGGTATTGGGTGAGCTTTCACAAACTAGTAGTACCTTAAGTACAGTAGCACACTTGCTAGGCTGATGTATAAGCCAAGCAGGTGTGCTGCTATGGTACTTTGTGGCACTAAATTGGCCTCCTCTAGCTGCGATGCCTATATTCGCACACCATGTAGACAAACCAACAAAACACCGTAAAAACTTATTCTTCCATTTTGTTTTGTTTCTAACCGGCTAGCAAGTAGGATGAGAAAACTGTTGGATTATTTCGAAATGGTTTAAGATTATTAAGAGCGCAGGATCGCACATGAGTGAATTCAGACGGTGGGCTTGAGCGCATGCGCTTATCTTCGATGGAAATAAATAGAATGGTATGTCTTGCAGTTCGGGCAGCCTTTTCTTTTACTTTTCTGCTTTCGGAGAGCAACAAACTTCTTGAAAGCTACAACACCTTAATTTTTATACATTATACTCAACTGTTTGGCTATACAGATGGCCTGTTGGAGATGTTATTTATCTTATTATCAACCAAAATTAAGCGAAAACAATAGTAAGGACGCAGTCGAGCTTGGAATCAGCAGTCATACTTAGATATGCCTGACTATGTATAGACAAAAAAATCTACATGAAAAGAGGGCCACATGCAAAATGAAGTCGGTATAGGTGTCCTTTTTTTTTCAGTGTTTACCTACAATGTCTTGGGTTGCAGATAATGACGGCCTCAGCGGACCTGAGTAATGTCGTAATACCCCAACAACTGTTTTAATGGATGCTACTTCGTTCCTGCATACAAACATGACATACCGTTACTCCAGCACCTTCCACTGCCAAGAAACCTGGCCTTCATTCATGAAGTAGTCTCTGAAGACCTCACGAACAGCCTTGGCGTCGTCTGGTTGTCTGCCACCAATGCGCTCCAGGGGGAAGACTGCTTTGTCGTTCACACCCTTTCTCCAGCTGCCTTGACGTACAGTGACTGAAACAAGTGAAATGAAAATTAATATTTTTTTAACGCATTCACCACCAACTAGCAGTATTAGAGATTAACCGAGTCTTTACTACAAGTTGCAAAGACCCTCACAAAAGAACTACGAATGCTATGAGGCTGTGGAGTAGAGTTTATCTGATGCCAAGCATTTGCAAGGCATGAGCGCTGCCAGGAAAAAACGGCTGCACAAAATGTGAAGGAGAGCAAGGAGTGCATGGCACGACACCAATATAGCAAGGAATGTTCACATACAAGCCAACAGGTATTGTCCAGCTACAGCAGAACTAGAATGGCACAAGCAGCTTGCTTATAATGGTGTTGCTTTAGATGGGCTGTTAAGTTCAAATGTGGCATGACCAGCTATGTCCACATACGGCTCTGCACATCTTGCTCTCTTTGCATTTTTCTTGCACGCCATGCATTGCAGAATTCCTAAATAATAGCAAATTCGGGTAGTCAATCGCTGGCGAGACTGAGCCGGCGGAACCGGCAACCAGAAACGCGCTGGCGGCACACCACGTGACCCTCAGCGCCCGAACACGAAACGCCAGACAGTGGCGTTTACCTCGCCTCCTGTTCGCGCGACACTGCTAGCAAGAGGCTATTGCTGCCGTCACCCATGCTCCAACGGCTTGGATTGACTTGAGCAGTGGCTGCTGAAGTGACTTCAGATCAGTTTAATTCTTTCGTTCATTTTTTTCTCACTGACCTTCTCTCCCATTTCGGAAGTAACGACACTGGATACAGACTGGCGCCTGCTGGCCCGGCCGTTTGGAGCTCGGGCCGAAAAAGCGCCGGGAAGTTGCCGTTGCTTGCCGGAGAACCACCACCCGAACGGTGCGCGCCGGCCGGAAACTGATTACGGGAACACTATTGCCGGTTTTCCGGCAAAATAAGTTGCCGGCGACTGACCACCCAAATTCGCCATAAGGAACTTATTCCATACGGTACTTATTGCTGTGCAAGAGGTCGGCACACTCTTTGGAGGGAAATTGTGTTGCAATGAAAAAAGCCACGAGCTGACTGTTGTTCTCTTGGCCATAGTCATTTCAATTCGAAGGAACGCATACGTCTTTCCACAACGGTATGTTTCATGGATGTGAAACCGGTTAAACAGTAACATTAGATCTTTCGATGTGTTGCAGTCTTGCATTAGTGCACCGAATAGTGCTGTTTACATTCAGAAATAGCTGCAAGCAATAATAGTGAGTGGCATTGCCGTGGCTGCTGACCAGAGGAATGGGGGGCCCTTCGCTAGAGCACTACACATTTTGATTGTGAGCAACACGCTGGAGATGTGTCTAGTTGTACATTACGCAACTATTGAAAATTGAAAGTGACATATCTACACCAGTTGAACAGCTAATTTCGCATTTACCTGTGAGCACGTCTTCAACATCAAGGCTGTCGGGTGGTGTGTACCTTGCCCGCGTGCCGTTCTTCGTCCGAAGGTAGTTGTGTAAGGCAATAGTCGCCTTCACAACCTTCACCGCTCTGTCCGGCTTGTGACGAAGAGGAGCCCCATAGACTTGGAATCTGTTCCGGAGGATGCCGAAGCCGTTTTCAACAATTCGGCGTCCCCGGGAAAGCCTGTAAAATAGATTGCAATCTTGTTCAATCAATGAGGAAAAAAGGCAAATTAGCTAGAGTGTTGCACTACCCTAAAGCACACACATAGAAAGATGCCAGTGGTTCACTGATTGCTAGGATGACTGCTGAAGCTGTGGATGACACTCTGCTATTTGACTTTCAGCAATATTGCTGTGCGCAGGGCCGAGCAAGTAACACTAGGTCACAGACTTCTAAAAGATTTGTAGTTATTCTTGCTCGGGATGTAACTGTTATCATTTTGTCCAACTTCCTTGTTCTTGAAAATGCCTGTTCATCCTCACCCCGAACGCTCATACCTTTTGGGCCGAATTTTCAAGATGCTAACACACACTATACTCCGTGTCACAATAACTTGGCGAACTGTGGAGGCTGCAGCCGCCGCGACCCAATAAGGGTATCGGAGCAAGGCATGTGACAGCACTCCAAGGCTGCGGAGGCCTCGTTACCACAACAGCAACAGCGGCCTACACAACAAAAAGTAGTTCCAGGCATCTTTTTTATTTTAACGGCAACTGAAGTTGCGTCATTACACTACGCTACACTACACGGAAGAAAGACGAAGATATGTTACTTTTAAAGAATACTTAGAGATGCTGACACCCCCAAAATTTATTTTTTGTTAGGCAATCCAATATGGTGTCAAAAAAGCTACCCAATCAATATTTTGCTACAGCATCACATATATTTTTTAATAAAGTTAAAAAATGCAACTGTTTGAAACTGAATCCAAAACTGGACTGGGGAGGAAGAAGAAATTAAGAGGAAAAGTGTGTGGAAGCCAAAGTGTCTTGGCAGAAGTCACGTGTCTGTGCAACTTTTATTTTTCATTCAACATATTTGAAGCTTTTTAAAAGCCACAAAAAATGAGTATCATATTTTTATTTTATTTTTAATATTGAGTGTGCGCCTTCGATGACCCACGACTCTGATTACCTTTGGTGGTTGCGTCTAAACCACAGGAAATAGCATGTGACCACGGAGAGGAGAGTGAGCGCCACATGTTTGAACGATCACAGCCCTGTAGTCGACCACTGCCACTCAAAATGTCGCACCCGCCACAGATTCACGGATAAATTGACTGTATGTCTGTCTCATGAACTGTTCTCAAAGACCTCGCTACTCTAGCGGAACGCAATGTTGCGGCGGTAGACATTCATTCCGAGTTGGTTGGTATCGCAGCGGACGACTCTTTGCCAGCAGACGACAGCTGGTTCCTTCAGGCCTCGCATTTGGTGCAGTGACACGAATGCCACCGTGACGTGCTGTCATGTGCCTCACTCCAACGTCCTTAGTAGGTCACGGGGACCGTAGCCTCCATGGTTCGCCAAGTTATCGTGAAACGAAGTAAAGCTAAGGAGCTGCACGGGACCTTGACGAGTCAGACTCGCTTCAGCGCTCAACCCTTGTGGTTACACCAACTTCGACGTTTGGGACGCTACTGTTCCTCTTTTGTTTACCCGGCACAAGTTCGCCACATTAAATGTTCAGTATCTTTTATTTATCACTTAATCAATTATCATTTGTGACAATATATTCACACCCTTACTGATTGCTTATCACCATGGCTGTGCTACTTAACTCTCTTCAGCTTGGCCCACACTGCACTCCCCAAACAAATTCAACAGGTCTGGGATTTTAAGAAAACAAATTTGCAGCAAAGGGGATATTAAAATAATGAAGATACCATTTCGGCTGATAACAATAAAAATAGCAAAGCACACCATCGTGCTTGCAGCGTGTAACTTCGCTCAAATAAGAAAAAGTTACTTTCAGCAATTTTGCTGGCGAGATTGACATACAGTCGTAGCATTCTGATGGGGCACATGTGTTGCCCATGTGAAACTAGTATTCTTTATTAACACCAATTCCATCTTTTCGCCTGTCAGGTATCCCTTAATTGTTTCAATCTAGAATTCAGTGAAGCGTGGTTCAAGCCTAACAGAGATCTGTCATTTTAAATTTTACAGTGCAAAAAGAGAAGAAATTGCTCTCGCTTACCAAATGACAATTACAACATGTGAACCACGCGTAGGGACACAATTGCACGTGGTGATTGCTGAGAGACAAAGACGTTTATTTGCGCGTTTTTGATTCCGACTACGGAGGGCTGGCGACGCTGCTTGTGCCGGTAATACATATGATGATGCCGCTGGCCACACAACACACTGTTTCAGCGCAGCTGCTTTTTCTTGTCAAGCTGCCAGCCCTCTGGGGAGGCCTCTTAACTCCATGTTTTTATGGAGCCTTTCATTTTTTTGGTTTAGCACACAGAAAAGGACGCCCATGAAATGCATGGATGACAAATGTGGCAGACACTCCCATAGGCAGCCATGACGGTATGTATGGATGGCACATTGTTGTTGGCCGTGGTATGCTATTGTTATCCTCGTAACTCGGAAATGCAAGTAAACTGGCAATATGCACTGACAGCAGCATAGTGATCACAGCATATTGTGAGCTCACCGATAGTTGAAGATCCTTTCGGCATCTTCCAGCTCTGACGCTGGAAACGGCCGCATCAGGTATGGCTTCATGCCGAACCCTTCGTCCCCCACGATGACGAAAGGTGCCGTCTTCGTTGAGTTTGGCAGCTGGGCTGCTTTCGGAAACTCAGCAATGCCCCGGTCAATACGTGCCCGTAGATCCGTGGCAGCCCATACACCACTGTCATTCATATGACCATTCCTACCCACATCAGCGTACAGGAACTTCAGATCAGAGTCCACAAGGGCCATCAACACAATGCTGAAGGTACCCTTGTAGTTTCGGTACATAGCTCCTGTACCCTGAGGTGGGCAGATCGTGACATGCTTCCCATCTAAGGCACCCAGGCAGTGAGGGAACTGCCAGATTTCTTCGAAGCCTCGGGCAACTTGCTCCCACTCGCCTGGTGTTGATGGCACCTTGAATGGAATAGGGAATTATGTTTGTCAAGTATGAGGCAACATAGAAATAACTCTTTACTTCTTCTACCAAAAGAACCGTGAAGTTCACTTGAGTGTTATCATGAAAAAGTATATAGAAATATTATGCCTGTAGCTTCATCAAACAGTACCGATATGCCTCTTGGATCCAGTCAGTGGAATCCACTAAGTTGACACTTATTAAATGGCATAGCCAAAAAGTCGACAAGCACGTTCTGAACTAATGTGTTTGCATATTCCACTTGTATGTTCCATCAATGTGCAGAAAAAGTGACAAAATTCGCAAGGTAACAGGGACAGATATTGTCACAAATAACTGGTGACAAGAAGAGCTGAATTAAATAATTCTTTAATGGGGGTGAACTTGTGCCCAGAACAAAAGAAAATAACTGCGTCGCAGGCTTCGATTGTCGGCGTGACAGCAAGGTTGAGCGCTGGAGATTGAATGATTCTGTACAACCATGTGGGGTTCGTTTTATTGCCGCTTCGCTTTCTATAACATTCCTACTAGAACATTTGGCCCTAGGACATTCCTACTAGAACAAAAGACAACAGCCTTGAATTTTCTAGGACATGTTTTACAAGTTAATAAAAAAAATTGCTGCCGGTTTCGGGATTCGAACCCGGGACCTCTGCATGGCAGCCAAGTGTGGTTCCCACTCGGCCACTACACATGCATGCAGCAATGTAACAGAATGATCAATACTTCGGCATCAATACTAGAATGGTGTTAGTGTTGTCCATCGCACCTCTAGTTTCAGTTTTGGCATTTCTCAGTCTAATAAATTCGGAAGTTTGAACAGACCCACACTTTTTTAACTCCATGGTTCGATTATCGAAGCCTAGATGCAAGAAAGGCTTGTATTATCTCTAGTTTATTTCACTTAGTGCAGAAATATGTGGTAATGAATAACTCGAAAGCATCGTCGCCAGCTTATATTCATAATATTTTGTTATTTGCATTACTCCGTACAGATGAAAGAGCAGTTCAGTGTATATGTAGTATGATACATTAACTCTGTCTTGCTGGCTGAATTATGGAGGGGTTAATGAGTTAATGTGAAGCATGTAAGGATTGCTCTCATTATGCTGACAACAAATCATGTAGGAAAAATCTACCTTTATGTAGTCGGGGGCCAAGACTGCATAGATGGCGACGCAAACGTCCCGGACTATCTTGGAAATGGTATTATGCCCCCTTCTAAACTGGAAACCCATGGAGGCGAAGGTTTCCCCTGTAAGCAAGAAATGATAGCACCGAGATCAGAAATGCACAGCACAGAAACAAGTATACCATCATGAAACACGAGAGTACAGCGTGTTTCACCTAATATTGCAATTGCTTTCTTTCGCAAACCTCAATCACGTGCTAAAATACTTAATCGTGACTTGGCTCCTATTAAAATTGAGAAATTGAAGACTTGAAATTCCCATGCAAACGTTACTCCACAATAAGAGTCGACCGTGCATGAATACCACGAGCGATAACTAGCACTGCCAGTATGATAAAGGATATCAAATCGATGCATCCGGAAACCGCAATATTTTATTTCACAAACGCCGCCGCGTTCATGTTTCAAAATAAAGTTTGGACTGTAAAATTACTTGTGAAAATCAGGAACTCGACGCATTAGGTAGAAACTTACCCCGAATACGTCTTATACTTGCCGGATTCCAGCAAAAAAATTTAAAGTCTCCACTCACACTCCAAACAAAACAAAAAACAAAAAACACAAAAAAAGCCCCAAATTGGTGTAATTTTTTTTCTTCTTCTGTATGCAGAAACTTGAAATTTGAACGCATACGTGGGAGTAGTAAAATATGTATTTGAGGTAAGTTCAACCTTATACGTACAGTTGCTGATTTTTTACGGGCCATTAATATTAGCTCGTAACTTTGTTTGTAGACAGTAAAAGAGGATTGACTCAATGTATCAAGTTGAAGGTTACCTCGAATATGTAATTTACTAGTCCCATTTACACATTAAAATTCTAAGCCTCTACTCCATGTGCAAAAAAATAAAAAATAAAAACTGTCTCATTTAGTAACATGGGACATTGTTGTTCTTTATTTTTATTTTAATATGTTTGTACTTCCAATTGAAGCTTAAATTTTTAATGCGTCAATCTGACCAATAAAATAAGTATTCGAAGCAAGTTTCTACTTGATGCGTCGAGTTCCTGATTTTTGCGGGTGATTTTAGAGTCAAAACTTTAATTTAAAAAAAAAACCCTGACGATCTGATGTCTTTTCCTTTATGTTGCGATGTGCATGTCTGAATGCGACCAAGATTAATTTTTCAGATATACGTGAAATCGACAAAACAAATGTTCGAGGAAAAAAAATAAATAAAAAAAGAAAATCTACACTGGGTATCGAGAACCCGCGAACGCTACGTCTGACGCGGACATCTTACCCGCTAAGCTACGTTCCCGCTGCAAACAATTCGCTTTGACAATTCGTTTTATGCGCAACCTTCGGACGGCACTTGAAGGCATGAGTGGAATGTCGTCGGATGGCACTTGAACGCTCTCCAAGAGCGCCATCGGACGGTACTTTAGACACTAACACTATGTTGTTCAAAAGCAAACTCTGTGCGTAAACAACATTCTTCGGTTCGCTCTTGCTACATGACTTACCAGTGGCGAGGTATCGCAGCGTGATCGCCAGCCTTTCGCCTGCAGGGATGGCTTCGCGGAATGACGTATCTTGTTTCTCGATGAGCGGTCTCACCTTCCTCAACAGTTCTTCAAATGTCCCGGTGTCCATGCGTATCCAAGAGCGGAACGCCTCGGCGTCTTCTAGCGCTAACTCACGCATCAAGTTAGCGTAGCAGCCCTGCTCCCGGTGTCGGCGCAGGTAGGGCTTAACCCACATCCTTCGTTTCGTTGGCAGCTCTTCATCCTCACTGGAGGATAGGGCCTCAAATAAAAGGAGAGCGGCCACAACGGCTCGTTTTTCCGGACAAAATGCCATACCAAATGAAGGCGCTCGATCGGCTCGATGCTCGATCGGCTCGATGTCGAAACGCGAGAGGGAGCGGACGCGAATGCGAGGGCAAGGCGGATAGTTCGTCGGACAGTGTTCGTAGGTGGGACTGCCGCTTCGTGTTCGTGGCGGTACGAGTCAGACGACAAACAAGAACTGTTCTGTCGTCGAGTGTTTCTCGGCGTTTGTCGGTCCCGTTTGTCGCTGAGGTGGGACGGTATCAGCGACACACAACTTTACCTAGTCGCCAGACAAAATTCGGTGTTTGTCGTTCTAGTGGGACGAGGCTATAACTACCTTATAATCTCTATGTCGATTTCAACAGAACACGGGTGTGAAAGGTCAAACGATTGTATATTTAAACACAGTTGCTAGAATAACGTTGTTAATTAGATAAAAAAATTATTTCTTCCTAGGGAAAAGAGTATCTTATTTTCTAAGCTAGGTTTAGTCTAATCTCCAATGTTTCACACATTTCGTTAAATGCATCTAAATTATTTTACCACACGATTTTAACTTTTAAGTGTTCGTTTCATTAACTATACAATTCTATACGGATATCTTTATTATGTGACGTTAGGATGTTTATAAAACGAGAAAAAAAAGGCCCCAAAACAGGCCCCTGCGGAAATAGAGATGTCACTTCAGCAATTTATGATTGAGCAGCGTTTACATCAAAGTACATGCATCTTTTATGTATGTATTTAGAACTGCAAGAACTTTAGGATTAATATGACGTGGGGCTTGAAGTAAAAGTTTACAAAGGACCACATCTAATTATTTTAAGAATTTAAATTTAATTTCCGGTTTCAGGAAAAAGAAATGACCGCGAGCTACATGCTTTATGGCGACCTCCTGCAAAAGCGATTGGGAAACGAACCGACCCTCTATAGCTACTCGCTCGAACGTGTAGCCCCTGCTGCCATGTTCGTTAAGGCGAGAAGAAAATAACTTAAATATCTCGTCGGAAATTAAGGTGACGTTACGACAAACAGCAACTGCGAAACACACATGGGTGCTCCAGATTTTTTAACGTGAAACGTTTATAGGCTTGGTTTTTAAATGAAGTGAACCCTCAAAAAGCGTAACCGGAAATGTGCCCGCTAAATTTAGCGGGGAAAATGACGTCACATGACTATCTCTTTGCGAAAATTTAGTTTACACACTAGATTTAGCAGGAAAATTGACGTCAAGTGACCTCCACATAAATTCAGTTTATTCGCTACATTTAGCGGGAAAATTGACACGAAAAAATAGGAGTTATCACCACTAACTCTAACTCAAACGAACTTCAACTAACTCTAACTAACTCTAACGCAAACTAACTCTAACTCTAACCGTATCTCTAACTTACCGTAACTTTAAACCAAACTCTACCTAACACTAACCCACCACTAACTCCACCAAACACTTGCTTGAGCGCTAAAACCAATAATTTTCACGTAACAACACAATTGCAGGAATTTCTTTAGCGTGTGTACAAACATTCCAAGACATCTGGAGCGTCTAGTTTCACGCCGGACACTTGATAGGGTCACTCGCAGCAATCTACGAATAGAGCTCGGCGAATGGCGAGGCTGAAATTATGTGTAGACTCAGGAAAACAGACTCGGGTAGCGCTGTGGCATTGAGCGTGACCTTTCTTCTCCTTACGCTGGTTTAGTGCGATAACGTAGACCGTTTTCTTAGATCTGAAGATATTTTCAGTTTAGCCAGCTTCAGCGCAAAATATTCTGCACAGCACAGGAGGCAGACCGTCGTTCGCCGAGAACCATCCGTTGTTTGCAACGATTCCCAAGTGCTTTGTGGGGAAAGCTAACTCCCCAGATTTCTTTAAGTGCGCAAAGGGTTACCGAAATTTTACTGCGAAGTTGTTATGTGCTAGGATTCTTATACAAATTCGTCCATTGATGTTAACAAAAAAAAAAAAAAAAAAAAACTCCCGTTTAAACAGCGTTTCTTTGTTCCGATTGGTCGTGGCAAGTATAAATAAAAAGGCGGAAAACCAGCGTGAGTCAGCCTTCCTTGGCATTATTAGATAGTGAGGTCTTGATCCCTTGTTAACATCTACGGTCACCGACTTATCTCAGCTAAGAGTGCGCTGTGACGAGGCTGAGGGCAGAACGCGCCGATCTAACCTTCTTTTCTTTCGTTTCCGTGATGCTGATAAAGAGACGGGATTAATCGGAAAAAACTGTCGTCGAGGTATGCCTCAAAAAATTAGGTTTAGAAACTACAAGGTCGTGTACTGAACGAGCTCATCGCCTTTATGAATGTATGTGTCTTTAATTCAATCAATATAGCAATTCGCTGTAACGTCGCTGTATAACCTAAAATAGCTACCAACCAATGACTGTGTTCCTTTGTCTCTTCACGTAGTCATTTTCTTGTTATCAGTTGCCCTTTGGATTCACCATGGGTAGGCCGCGTGTTGTTCGCTCTGGAGAGGAAGAGCACGGCTACAAGGATCGTCGGCGCGTCGAGAAGCCGAACGCGCAGCGGCCCATCGTGGTGCGGCCGATGGTTTGGGTCCATCGGCTTCAATTGATCCTCCACTCACTAACCTGCCCGTCTGAAGCGTCAGCGGCAACAGAAGCGGGAATGTGGACGTCGTCGCCGGGCCAAAATGACTGACGAAGATCGGGCCGCTGATGCCAAGCGGAAACTAGTAGCTTTTGTCGTAAAGATGACAGCTTCGCCGTTCCTCCGTCTTCACGTGAAGTGGATGGGCTCTACAATGTTTTAATCCTATTTTAGATTGGAAGAAAGTTAACTTCACGGAAGAGAAAAAAATGTACGGGGTGTGTCTTTTTCTGCTTTTCAGACAAGCGTTGCGGCAAAGAAACAACGTAATCAACTCTAAAGTCACTGACAGCTTAAGATGCGGGGGGCGTGCTGATTCCCGATAATCTTATTATGGTTAGGCAGCAAATAGTACTGCAATACTACCTGTTAAAAAAATAAACCGAGGAAAGAAAAGCCAAGCAAAAAGTGCGAATATAGAAGGGCTCGCGTTGCGATCGTTAACTTGTAGGCGTCTAAAAAATAATCATTATACCGGCTTGAAAATTGGTTTCTTTTGTTAAGTTTTGCCACTATATATTGCAAATTAGCTCGAGTTTCAGAAATCGTATTTTAACTTCGTTTTAGCTTTTGTGGGAGTGCAACCGACGCTAGGAGTCGACGGGGCCAATCAAACGTCACCAAAGGCGAAACGTCAAAACGTTCGGCATCTTTCCTAGATGTGTCCCTTACAGCGACCAAACAAAACAGCAGGGAAGTGCGCACAGACCTCGTGCTTTTAGTAACTGTGTACCTGCTTGCAGTGTTGGGAAGTACTTTCAGTGCATTGCACTTTTATTTATATATTTACCCTCAAGGCACTACTTCAAGTAGGTTCAGTAAACTTCCACTTTACTTCAAGTAGATTCTCTGAGTATGAAACTCTACGTTACCTAAATTTTTTTTTGCTGGAACTTTCCCAGAAATATACAACTTCGAACTTTAAACTGAATTCCCCAAATGTGGTCTCGGTGAAATTAAGCTCCTTCAATGACCACGCGCTGGCGTCCTTGACATCCCAGTAGCTACTAAACACAACTTGCGAAGTAGAGTATAAGTCACCAACCTCTAACACAAAATGGTGTGCGAAAACGCTCTATCGTCTTTCGAGACGTTATTCGGTCATTCCTGTGGTGTGAAGTAATGATGGCGGCTATAAAACCGATACTAATAAGCACCTCATAGGTTAATTGTGTTAAATAGTTCGTCAGCGAAAGTAAAACAGCTACTTTGTGGTCCCTTGACTTCATCCAAAATTTGCCACTATTTCCGAAAATGCCTGGTGCACCCCCAATCCCCACTGAGACAATGCACATTGAAATATTGTGTTAAAAAGAACTTGTACTTTACTTTGGAAGTACATTGTGTTTTTAGTAATTTATATAAAATAACATTGCATTCCGTGTACTTGCTACTTCACTCGAAGTACGTAAGTCCTCATTTACTTGGTACTTTATTTCGAGTATCTTTTTGGTGCGCTTTACCCAACACTGTGTGCTTGAATGCCTGCTGTACTTTGAGTGCACTGTGACTTATCCTGAAAATAAGCACAGAACTTTGGTGAGCGCTTCGCCGCAGAGTTTTTTTTTCTGATTTGGATATCTACTTTTTTTTAGCAACTCTCAAGTTTGTTTTTAATAGGGGGACCTTTAGTTTTTAACAGAAACGGGCGTCACTACTTCATGGCGAAGTTTGTCAAAAGCCCGACCCTTGCGACCTCGAAGAGCGCCATCTTTCGAATGGAAAAGACGCTCACACACACAAACGTTTGCCTTCCTTCTACGAGATGGCGCTCGTGTACTTCCTTTTTTTCTTCTGACGGTTTCGCGCCCGATTTAAACTCGATTTATTTCGCCAAGGGTGTTTTCTTTCTTTTTTAAACTGTACACAGAAATCATGATATTATCGTTTGGAGGAGCCTAGTATATTCTGATGTTCCGTTTATAGGCCTATCAGTTATCTTCAACAGGAATACCTTCCTCAGGGTATTTATTATTGATACCTCCAAGTGTTTTCTGCGTACTATCTCAAAAAGATAGCTGATGCGGCAGCTTCACATCTATTACGCTTTCGAGAGGTAGTTACGTGTTTTTGCTCCTAGTTTATGTTCATTAGCAGGTCCAGTTATATCAAACATTAGTGCGTCTACAGACTAGTATATGTCCCCGGGGTATTGCACATCAAAGGACTGACTACGTAGCCGTATTTTGTACTATGGCTATCAGTTAACAAGCCCATCTGCTTTATAAATCTTAAAAGCAGACATGAAATAGGTTACTGCGGTTGCATTCGACACTTTTACGAACACGAAAACGACGCCACAATCACAAAGAAGGGCTACACTGTTTCCAGCACTTCGACTACTAATTTCCCACCGAAAATTCTTGGTTCAAAGTTTTGCTAGGAAGTCAGACCATACTTACGATTACCAATCCTTATTTTTTTTTAGAGCGCAGCTCTTAGGCGCCCGTTTCCGGCTTGAGCGGCGTCGGCGTCGCCGTCGCCGTCGGCGTAATTGCGCGGTGCATTCTGGGTAAATTTTCCCGAAGGAACCCGAGGTCCTCCCGAGGTCCTCCCGAAGGAACCCGAGGTCCTTCGGGAGGACCTCGGGTTCCTTCGTGAGAACCTCGGGTTCCTTCGGGAGGACCTCGGAAGGACCTCGGGTTCCTTCGGGAGGACCTCGGAAGGACCTCGGGTTCCTTCGGGCGGGCCTCGGGAGGACCTCGGGCTCCTTCGGGAGGACCTCGGGAGGACCTCGGGTTCCTTCGGGAGGACCTAGGGGGGGGGGGGTCACGTGACAATGACGTCATCAGTGATGATGACGATGACGATGCGAATGCCGATGAGGTCGTCAGTGACGTCACAGATGACGTCATCAGTGACGATGACGATGGCGATGCGGATGCCAATGACTCCATCAGCATCCGCATCGTCATCGTCATCATCACTGATGACGTCATCGTCACGTGACCCCCCCAGGACCTCGGGTTCCTTCGGGAGGACCTCGGGAGGACCTCGGGCTCCTTCGGGAGGACCTCGGGAGGACCTCGGCGGGTTCCTTCGGGAGGACCTTGGGGGGGAAGGGGGTCACGTGACCCCCAGGTCACGTGACCCCTCCCCCAGGTCATGTGATCTCCCAGGTCACGTGACCCCCCCTTCCGAGGTCAACTGATCCCCCCAGTACCCTTCCCTCCTCCTCCTCAAGAGCTGCGCTCAAATTCGGCGTTACAGGGAGCTGTAAACGGCTTTCATTTTTTATCGGCTCCACCCAGATTACAAGAAGTCGGGTGACCCCTGCGCGCATATTGTCGTGGTTTATTGTAGGCTATACATGGTACCTATCTCAGGGACAATACTATGCAGCTTTTTCTTTTATATGATTTGTTTTACATCTCAAAGCATATTTTAACCTATCCTGATTGAAAAATATCGAATGATTTTCCAACATTCAAAATGATTCATCATGTTGCAAATGTCGAGTAGTAGCACTTATTGTGAGAATCTGAAATATTTCAAAGTACCAGCGGGCGACGTATCGTTTACCGAAAATTGCACATATTTTTAGTGAAATAGTAAAACGCTGTAAAACGAGAAGTTTCCACACGCTCAAAAACCTGTAGCGTTTGCTCCCCCGTAAAGCACTTGCGAGAGCCAATCACTCTCATGTACAGAGGTCGCTCGGCGAATGACGGGGCTAATATATGCCTAAACCTGAAGAAACAGTTTTTGCCACGGCATAGAGCATGGCGTTCCCCGTTCTCAGTGCAACAGCGATCACCATGTTTAAGATGGTTTTATTATTTAACAGGCTTGTTTATTTATGTTTTGTAGATGTCTCGTGTGATCACCGTGGCGTTACGGTCGAAACATTGTGACCCTATCCTCAAAAAGAGTATTTTATCAGAAGTAGATATTTGGCAGATCACTACACCGGCTTAAATATTACTAGAAATAAGTTCAAAAATCTCTGAAAGGAAACTATCTGGCATTTTGACATTGTTAATACCATATCTTAACGACTTCCACTTCCCCGTGGCAAGGACGGTACGCACACTGGAAGACAACACTTAGAAAATTACGTAGTCTGTATTTAACTGAACAAACATTATCATAGCGTCCACTCCTCGCAGAACTTAATTATAATTTTTTTTTATTTGGCAAAGTGCAATACATGTATGAATAATTAAAATAAAGTTTTGAATAATATACCGGAATGAGCACGTCTCACACCCCCAAAAACATGTCAGTTTTTTTTTGTTTTTTTCTTCTGTTTTCTGACAAATAAATTTTGTAAGAGCTATGTAAGGAAAGTGGGACATTCAAGACAAACAGACGACACAGCTGGGGCTGACCCGAAAGCCTGCGTCGTCTCTTCGTCTTGAATGTCCCTCTTTCCTTATCCTAAATTAGAAACCAACACGCTCAAACATCTACAGCCATGTAATGCGTGCATAGTTTCGAGCTGTGGGGAAACTATCACTTTCTTTACATGACAAAAAGTATACAAAACATATTTTATGCTCATGATACGAGCATTTTACTACCTGAAATACTTCAGTCTTGCTGCTCGCAGATAAATATTGTACCATTTAGTGTATTTTTTAATGACCCGAGATGATTCGCACGTTAGATAGATGAAGAATCTACCAGGATAAAGAATATATATCGATTCCATCTATATTTTATAAAGTAAATACCTTATTCCTTAAAGCAATGACGGTCGCAATTAGTAAGATTTTGCGACGTTAGCAGCTATATTTGCAATGATAAGTCTTGTTTGTTTGTTTGTTTGTTTGTTTGTTTGTTTGTTTTTCTGTTTGTTTGTTTTTTGTAGCATTGCTATAGTCACAGCCTGATAAATGCCGCGCCTGGTCGAGTCCAGGGCATCTATTATCGGTCCGCATCTAAAACCTTTGCTCAATTAGCCAGTATGAACGTTGATCGAAGAATCAACAAGCAAAAAGCCCACAGATACCTTAGAGAAAAATCTTATTTGTGTAAACAATTTCTTGGTCCAATAAACACACAGGACCCGATAAGATCATATAACAACCACACGAGAGTATAAAAGAACCTGTAAGAAAATTATAAGAATTTTATTTTAAGTTTTTGATGTCTACATAATTCTATCTGTTTCTTACGTGTTTTTATAGAACTCTTATATGCTCCTATAGGATCCTATTTGTGTTCAAGTGCACTAACGGTCCTGTTACACGTCGACGCCAAACAGCGGTCAGGTTGTAGGTGCCTCACTGGGACATGGCTCGAGTCCCTGCCGTGGAGCTCGCAACCTGACGGAGGATAATTGCGGAGAATTCGCCTTGTAACCTAAATATTAATTTCACGTCAAAAGATCCCCAGGGCGTTGAAACTAATCCTCAGTACTTCGCTGAAGAGTACCCGATGCCCTTCCTTTGTTTGGAATGTAAAACCCCCAAATTTGACTGAATTTCAGGCTTCGAACAGCTCAACAACGTGGCTCAGCCACTCGTTCTCGACACTTGATACCACGAACCGGCCATCTAAACAGGAAAATTCGCTTGCGTTGGCTAGCTCGTCCGTTTATTGTGATTTAATATTCTAGTTAAAATACCAAGCAGACGTACTTCCTTACTATATTGCTCTGGCTGACTTTTTTGTTTTGAAAGATTCGCCTATCAAGTCGGAATGGCTTGAATCGTACGCCTATGCATTCGTCTCCCACGTCAAGCAGCTGCGCTTGTCCAGATAAAGATTCAAATAAACACCCGAGATAACTTCTCTCGGTATAGCGAAGGCGTTGGAAATATGTCAGACAAGGGACGTCCCCCACGCTCCAGAGAGAACTCCTCCGAGACTGCATTAGAGCAAGCTCCTACAGTTTTGTTGTTTTTGTTTAAATCTGCCGTGCAACGAGATAAAACGTCGCGATGTTTGTATTCCTCCCTCCGAAGTTCGAGAGGCGTCTCAGACAGAATGACGCGACTGCTTTTGCTACGCACGCCCACGAGGAAAACTGTCGGCTGTACTCCGTTTCACCTTAAGATGGACCGCGATAAACGCTACGAACCATCGAAGCCAATCCAATGACTTGGGAGTGCCACGTGACCTTCCAGGTGTGCGCAATAAGTCGCACGGGGCGCCTATTCAGATGATGCATTCACTTCACAGGATTGGTTGGGATGGCTCGTATCGCCTGCTGCGGTGCAGCATAAGGTGAAACATAGTATAGAGGGATGCCCTCGTTCGTTCGGACGGTGGTCAATAGCTAGTTCTAAGTTTCTGAAGCTGCGTGCTTCAAATGTTCGAAACAAAAACCGTTTCGTTTCCGTGACGTCTCAAGAGATTGTGCATAGTGTTCTAAGACGAATATGTTTTTTTTTTTTCTTGGCCATTTTTGTTTGCTGCACTTTTAAGGGTCGAATTTCTTTGTCGATAAATGCGACAAGAGGTCAATTATTTGCTCTTTAATGAGCGACGATTGAATAGGGGCTTTTACATATTTCTTAACGAGAGCAACCATTTTTTTATGTTCAGCCGAATCGAATTTGTTCAAGGTACGTCGGATTTCCGGACTAAGTATAGAGCCTGCAAACGCTTAGTCTGGGGTTTGTATATATTATAGCATCATATGGCGCATTGAACAGCCATCGATCATTGTAAAAAACTGAATCAACAGTAGTAGGATTTTCTAGATGCCATATCGCCGCTCGTTACTCGATGCGCATGCTCAGAACGAGCTTTAATTTTTCGTCTGCAAGGCTATTGATTGGTTGGAATGCATTTTCATGCCCACGTTCAGTTTGCATTCTACCTATAATCAGGGTCGTGGTACTTGGGAGATGATCAATTAAGGCAATTTCTGAGCGTCGCTTCCTAAAGAAGTGATTTTCACTTTAAAGTTTAGTGAACATGTGTTCTCACTGTCAGACAACGAGTTGTAGAAACAGCACCAAAATCAATAGGTGAAAAAACTACGGGATTGCGCTAGTGGTTGCAATCTTGACATTTTTTCGTATCCCGTTTCAGAATTCTTTCAAGAATGAAATACTATATAGGTCAATTTACCGTGCGCGTCAGTACGTTATTTTTTTAGAAAGATATGCTTGTGCATGCGTTTACTTTTTTTGAAACTAATAATGGCTATGTTCAGCATAATGGGAGATGATCGCCATATGAGGATTCGGACTCGAGTTCTCTACCTTTGGTATGATCTGAAAAAAAGAGATTCTAGTGCCAGTCACTTGCAACTGGCCCTTGCGGGCACTCACCTATATATCGTATTCCTTGCTCAGATCTTGTGTAGTCACATGCTTTGATACCTTATCGTCTTTCCTGAAAGATACTCGCAGTTATTTACACAGCACTACAACAGTGTACATGCAAGTCCGCTCTTCCCGACGTCAGGTGCGTACTCTTCGTCGTCGTAAAAAGCCACAAAAGCATAATATAAACGTTTCAACGTTTTTATTTTTTTTATTTTTGTCAAAAACCACGAACAAAAAAGTCTTGAACATGCAAGAAACAATGTTGCCCTACAATTGAATATAGCGAAACATGTAACATGATGATGCGTCCTCAAAAAGACCAGCTTGAATTGCTATCACAAAGAAAACGACACCAATGTTTAAACGAGTCTCACCGCTCCGAGAAGAAGGTTCGCTCATTTTTGTTTCTAGTTGTGTCCTCAATCGTAAATAGTTGGTTGCGAAACACGCTCCTATTACATGGCCGGAGTAACGTCTTCGCGCATACAGTTGATTGAAAGAAGTGAAGGCGAGAAGTACCTAACATACGAAAAGAAAAAGCAACATCAGTTATTTTAACTGCGTGAAATCGACTACCAAATCAAAATGCGCCCCGTGTGCTTTAGGGTACCTGCGCAAAAACCCACGAGGCTACACTCATCCACGCAAACTCCAGCGTCCGCAGACGCTGTCAGCCGCAACAACTCATGCAAATCAGAATGAGTATTTACAAGAGAGACTCTCGCCGGACGTAGGAAACGAGGAGCTAATACGAGTAGGCGACTTAGTCGCGGAACTTTCCGTTGCGGTTCCAGTCAAGGTATTTCTGATACCTCGCAGCCACTCCGCTGGGCTCCACGTCGAAGGACGCTGAACGGCGGAAGGACGGTTGTGGCTCCGGGTTCCTGATGTAAGTTACCCCCACCGGTATGCCGTGCTTCGTACTCTCAACCTCAGGATTGTCGGCGTCTTTGATAGAGCTCTGCAGCCTCGGGAAATTGCGAATTGACTTGTAGACCGGAACCGTGTCTGGAACCGAATCGGTGACATGAGACGCCACCTGTGAGTAGTAACCGTGTTTCGGCTCCGGCGGGGCATGGGCTCGTGCTCCGTACTTCAGAAAGGGAACTTGTTCCACCTGCTGTTGATAGTAATACGGAGCGCTAGATGCCCTGTTCTCTACGACGCTGTGGGGACGCGTGCCGCCGTAACCCGGATGGGGAAGTTGATCGTGGGAGCCTTCATAAACCCTGGCGTCGTTGAGCGTAAACTTGTGAAGCCTCGCGGGCTCGGGGCCCTGAAATGCGGGATGGTGTCCCACGACAGAGCCTCCGTGGGACGGGCCAAACTCATCGACTTCCTGCACACGGTGGCCGGGGTTTGGATGGTGGAACGCGGGCACCGCAGCCACTTCGGGAGCGGCCACCGCGCCTGCCGGATGCACCGTGTGGATTGGTAGTGTACCCGGATGCGTGAAAGCGGGTATGGCAGCCACCGCTGGTCTTGCCGATTCGAAGTCTTCGGGCTCGTGGTGATGCGGGGGTTGGTCCTCTTTGTGCGGAGGTTTCGCCTGAGCCGCCTCGACCACGTGCGGCGGCGGGTCCCTGGCCGTGATGCGCACGTGGGCTGGGTTCTGGTTGGCGGTGCCCGGTTCGTTCGTCCTGATCCATGCCCTGAAGCCTCCTTTGTCAGCCACGTAGTTGACCACCCGGTAAACGCCGTTGGCGTCGCGGTAGCTGTACGAGCCCTTGCGGTTGTTGTGGACGTCGCTCTCTTCCTTGTGGTGTCTCGTGTTTCCGTGCTCATCCTTGATTTCGTAGGCGAACTGGTAAGCGTGCGGCTGTGGCGGGTATTCCTGTGAATAAGATGGAATGAATGTTTTTTGGGTCATGAGCGGGGTGAGGAAGGCAATTATCGAAACCAGACTGGAGCCCAGCACGCTCCAGCATCTGAGCGCGTGCGTGAAAAGCGTATGTCACGTTCGGTCACGGCTTAATCATAAACCCATTTACGTGACTCTAGGTAATGATTTTGTGCCCGTTTATCCTCTATGATACGAGTTTCAGTGTGCTGGCCTTTTTATTTCTTCGCTGGTTAACCTGGCCCCAGCAACAGACGCGGGAAAAGGGAACCTTTAGTAAAATTAACGATGTGTAAGTTATGTTCTAAGGTGGTATAAAACACGATGGAAGGATTCAATTAGAAGAATTATGCTATTGCTCAGTTAGAAAATTCATGCCCCTATATTTTGTTTTATGTCAAAGCCTTAGTAGAAACACACAGAGTGAAACTTGGGAGAAGGTGTAACAACAAATTCGAAATCAATACTCCGAACCAGAAAAGGCACAGCTTGGCAGAATATCCCTGGAACTCAAGTTAGCCCCGTGGTATTCGTTATTTATATGGTGTCCTTTTACAGCATGTACACTAACGCTTCAATCTAACTATGGAGAATCCGGAAAAATCAGTTTCTTAAAGTATCGCGCTGTGATTTATTACAGAGGTGCGGCTAGGTGGTGCACGCATAAGGTTTAAATGTCAACAAACAAACTTACCTCGTTCAATTAGAAAAAAAAAACACTTATTTTGGGCAATCTACGGTGCCATTTCCCGGACGACGCAGACGGCGTTCGTTGACTTGGAGACGCTGCCGACAGATGGCGCATGCATCGAAAAACTTTCGCTAGATCGTCTACCACGAAACCCGAATCGGCACGCACCGCGCGCCTTCGACGCACGCGCCATCTGTTGATAGCGTCTCCAAGTCAGAGGAAATACAAACTTTTCTGCCTGACGGGCTGAAACCTATCCGAAATTCATCGTGCTACACCTCATTATGGCTAGTCAGCATACTTTGGTAGTACTTTGTTCCTTAGCACTGAAAGCGGGGGTAGAAGAAAATGAACCCGGAACAACTGGTCCCAAGTGCAAGGCAGAAAAATATGATCTCACGATCATAGTGAAAAAGAAGTAAGTACAGCAGGGTGAATTCATTGAATAAAAGAAAAGATGATTCAAATTAAAAATTAAGATTCCTTGTCTCCCTATGAACGAATCTACGCTGAGCCTTTTTGTGCAAAATCATCAAATGGCATATTGGACCATTGTGGCGTTTATAAAGAATGCAAGAAAAGGTGCAATGGAAAGTGAGCAAAATTTGGATAAATATCCTCTGCAGTTTGTCAAAACAAACACGGCAGTGACCCAAACATCGTTTGTTGTTTACACGCAGTCGAAAAATAGAAAATGCTGATTTTTTTTCTATGCTCATTTGCTAGGTGAATCAATCATTCTGTGCTTTTTCTGGACAAATTCACCACCTTATTATATCTCTGTACATATGTACTCCGAAATGTTTTCAAAAAGTCGATTTGGCGCTCAATTTAAGAGTGTGGCCGCCTTCAGACTCTCCCTGTGTATTTATGCACTTCATTTTTATTCAATAAATGTCTTCTAACAATAAATATTTCATACCTGCTAATCTTGAACAAGTGAGAGAAGTTATTCAAATGTCATTTAAATAAGTGTTGCGGGACAAGTATGCGAGTGCGGTAAAATCGCCAAGTATTTCTCTTTTATGTAATAATTTAAAGCATTGCTAAGAAAAAGTTCTTTCTCAACGTCCTAGGCTTCGAATATCTTTCGATAAAAGTCACCTCTCATTTCCGTTCTTATTTTCTGTTGGTAGTCATCTACACCTTGCATGTATTCATTCTCCCCGTTCACCTCCCTCGACATGACAGGCAATAATAAAAGAAACGCACTATACAATACAGGCAGGCAGAAATCCTGCGCTCGACCGCACCAGCGTGTATAAAAATATCTGGATTTCAAGTGTTGAAATTTATTGAGGAAACAGCGACAGCTGTCGCCAGGTGGTGGATCACCAGAGCAATTTGGTGGTCCGTGTGAAACTATCACACGCTAGCTGTTTCGAAGAGACCGACAACTAGAAGTTTGCACGGGGCGATATTTAGGAGTCAAGGCATAGCCCGCGACGCTAATTTGCACGGGCCCGCGCTGAGGCTTCTTCATTTTCGCCATGGCAGGTGGCTTGCACTGCTACATAGGTTGACTACGGTATGCGATGGTCAATGCAACTAGCATAATCTTTTTGTTTGCTGCTATTATTATCAGACAAATTTGCGGTCCTACAAAAAATGCAGCTAGGTAGGAGAGAAAACAGAACACCGATTGTCCTTTTTTGCGATGAAATCCCCGTTTCGAAAATGATGCAAAAATTAAAATGGTAAGCAACAGTGAACAAAATCATGTGCTGAGGTTGAAAAGGAAGGGAAATGTCACGACGGGTTTAAGCGTCTAACAAAAAACCTCCAATGATCTAAATTGCCCACACCCGCTCCGTACAACCAAAAAAAAATATGTTAAAGAATACCACCAGCTTTTGAGGGGTCTGCAAGAAATTGTTTAGGGAAAGCACCCCTAAGGGGAACCTTTTCGCCCATATTGTCGGTGCACGCACTGGTCGTACAGATGGTGAACTCCTGCGAAGGTGCGCAGCGTGTAGGCGCGCACGTGTGCGTGCTGATGGGGAGAAGCGACAGTACGCCGCCGCCGGCGCCGGCGACAAAAATTATTTACGGGAAAAGAAAGGGACGGAAACGACATTACTTTCTCTGCGTTTGAAAATGAATGCCGCGCCGCTGGTACGTATTGATCTGAGAGAGCAGTCAGTACACACATACACACGCACGTACTTCCAGCATTTGGGTCTCCCCCACTGTAATTTTCTCCCCAACACTCTGAACAAATTTCTAAAAACAATGCGGCTACAAAAAATGTATATATATATATATATATATATATATATATATATATATATATATATATATATATATATATATATATATATATTAATAAAGTATTAACGGCCGGCTTGGGTCAACTTGTAGACTTTAATGCAATGCCCGTGTCCGGCCTGAGCCGTTCATAGATGTAGCCGTGAAGCCTCGACCGAAATCGTATAAAAAAAGGCCGAGAAATTGCCTCCTAAGAAGAAAAAAAAAAGGGAGGAGGGCACTTTCACTCTGCTAGACCCCTTAACTGAAATAAATGTTGTGTCACTGTGAAATATGTCCACATTAAATTTTCGCGAAACGGCATGCACTCAGTCGTAAAAAGCGGAGATTCTCAGGACGCATGCGAATATATTTGGGAACAGATGCATGCAGTCGTGCTATCCCATGACAAAGATTCCGCCTGTTAGTCCGAAGTTTCTCTGAAAGCAAAAGATCACCAGGCAAACACAGTAATAGCTTTTTTTCTGCCAAACGCAAGTTCTGAGACTGACTCGCATACACATCTGAAGTGTCTCCCGCATCAAACTTTAGCAGCAAATAATAAACGATATGTTTTGAAAAGGCTCTCTACACCAGTTAGGGTGCAGCCACCGAAAAGAGAAACGACGGCGTGTTTTTAATCCAGCCACCCCCCCCCCCCCCCCCCTCCGGGCGGAAGGGGGTGGAGCCCATTGAAGTTGCACAAAGCGGGGCAGGCAATGATTGGGTCCGAACTCTGGCGCCAAGTCAGGCTCTTCTATGACCTGTTGCGTGTCCTGTGCTAGACGTATTACACTGACTGAGTAGCTGGGGGGAACTTTCGTTCATTTCGCCGTCTTGCCGCGCAGACTACGGAGTTTTGGTTAGCGCTCGTCCTGCATACTTGTTATCTTTGTCTTGTTTGCGCTATTTTATATGTTTAACTAAGATCGTCCTCTTGGTGCGTGACATGGCAACCTCTAGATTCGCTGAGATTTTGACGGGTCCCTTACTGTCAACAAGCCCAGAGTTACTGCATGTAGATATTGTTGACTTTCTTCTCTCCATCCCTGTCTTCTTTCTTATCACTATCTCGTGCTGTTCCTCCCTCTCTTAATCTCTCTTTCTCTCTCTCTCTTTCGTTATTCTCGCATTCTCTCTCGATCATTCTTTCAAACCCCTCGGAGCACTGAAATATGTTGTGCACCGATGCTGTTCAGTCGCTGCAATGTTTTTCCGAGTGCGACTTCTGATGCAAAAAATGCGAGTCCAAAATGAGCTAAACCACCTAAAACCGCCTGAAGCAAAAGTCAAAACGATGCTCACCTGCTTCTCAAAGAAGAGTCGAGATTTGCATTCAACGAACTTTGCATCACCACCGGAATGTGAAACTCCCAGCATTCGCGAACCAATGACTCAGCAGACGCTATCGTTTTCAGCAGTATCATCTTATCAATACGTCAGTGCCGAGCCTTTTCCAATCCTTGAAGCCACTCATCCAAATGACCTCGGGGTCTACGCCAGTAAGTCAGTAAGTGGGATAATTTCGGAATCGTTAACCTTCCGATGCCCAAACTTGTGCCCTGAACTCATCAGGCAACATTGCACTTTATAAATATTTAAGATTAATGTTTTAAATATTTTATCGTCCTTCGCTGTGGGTGTTTAGGTCGAGCATTTTATCAGTTTTCAAGTAATTAAGTTATTGGAATTTTTTTAAGATTGCAAATTACTTTTGCCTTTAGACAGCCGAGTGTTCTCATCATACATACAATGGCGAGGCGCGGACATGCGGCAATACAGCACCGGGAGGACACACGGTTTGCTCTGACAGCTCGCATTGGGTCGCAGGAGCCGTAGCTTTTGTCGTCTGCGAAGTTGGAACGGAGGATACGGTAAAAAAATATTGGTTTTCATAAAGACATATGTTTCGCCAATTCTTCGATTTGAAAATAATCACGAAAAGTTTGTCCCGCAGATAATTCACTCCATGGTAATGACTACACCACGGATCATGAAAATTTGTGCCGGTAAAATAATTCAGAAATCTGCTGGTTTCCGAGTTGCACGTCAAGCATGGCAATCTCAACACAGCACGTCGAAATTTGTTTAATCGCCAACTCTACATCGGAAAGCAATAAATTAAAAAAATTCATAGCTCTCCTAACAATCCTTATCCCCCCCCCCCCCCCCCGGCCCCCAACCCAACCCCGGGCCTACCGTAGATCAGTTATAAAAGTTTCCAGAACCACCCCCCTCCCCTTTCCCAAGACGAAAATGCTGGGTGGGCGAATGACAAGCATCGTCCGCGTCGTCCGAAAAATAGATCGGTAGATTGCCCGAAAAAGGTTCTTCTTTTCTTTTTTTTTTACTTAAATAAGGTAAGTTTTTTTTTTCATATTTTACTTCCATGCGTTCACCGCCTAGCCGCAACTCTGCAGTAAATCTCAGCGCAATACCATGAGAAACTGCTTTTTGTGGACTGCCAAAAGTAGGATCAAAGCGTTAGTGTGCATGCTATACATTACGAAATGCTTTATAATTTGACACTTAGTTTTCTTATGACGCTATGTGTATGTATCGTATGTCTGGGCTACATCTTTCTCTTTTTCATCACTAAAATCTAATCATATCATCTTCGTTCTGTGCAATAGGAGTTGAAAGTAGGAACATGTCGAGGTTACTTGAGTGATGATATTTTCGGAAAACACAAGTCCCACATTATAGCGACCGTCCTGGTGTATCAAATTCAATTAGGTTGAAAACATAAAAGCTTATTCAGTAATCGAACTGAAAAATTTAAACAACATAATAATGCAATGCTTTCCAGACTGGGTAAGAAGGAACAAACGTGTGTACGAATATAGTTACAAAGCTTTTAACATTAGTATCTGTTGTAGTCAGTGGATGGAACAAAAGCTCGTTGCCTACCATTTTAATGCGTAACTGTTAGGTTAACAAGTTTAAAAAACGCAGGACATGAACATCCTCACGGGCTTGCTGTTACCGGTAAGCATGTTTTGAACAATTAAAGACGAAGTGGTGTTAAACAAACACACCGCAAATTTGAAAGATGGTATGTGGGAACCTTTAGCTTTTTGTGTTTGCAACAAGTCACCTGCTCCACTTTATTTATTTATATTTATTCTCCACAAGAACCAATTCACCCTGCTTGAGGAAGAGCCTCGCCAAACAAGCCGCTGAGGCCGTGGACCCTAGGCAGATCTGGCAAAGCTGCATACGGGCCATTTACCGAGTAAATTGTGACAACTATTACTCTATTGTTTTTGTGACTGAGCCTCACCGAAACAAAACCAAACTCTAATGGACTGACTTATTGAGTGACCGATCGGTAAGATGCCTACACTCCTCACCTCAGGTTCCTCGACGTGGTGGGCTGCATCCCCGTGTCCTTGCGTACGATCCCCGAAGGCCGGGGTCGCGTGGACAGCTGGCTCAACTAAGGCGTCCTCTTGGAAGTGGGTGTATCTGCCCGCCGATGCGCCGTGCATTGCAGCGAGGACGCCTATCAATGCCCACTGCAACCAGATAAAAAGAGAGAGAGATATCGTTGTCAGAGTTTGTAGGTAGAAAGAAATACGCTGTAGTCACTTCGAGCATGGCGAGGCGAATCACAAGGACTATAATATCGTTCGGGAAGCAGATTAGCGAACTAGAACGTTAAAAAAATAATCACGAAGCTAAAAGCATAAACATATCAATGCGAACGCATTAACTGTCCCATGGAGCGAGCCGACGATATCAGCTTTGAAACCCCGCCAAACGGCACCTAAACTCTTTTCTCCAAGTGAAGCCAGCTCCCAGCTATGAATACAGGCGAAAAGCCTAGCCAAACGGCACCTAGTTTCCTCGATCCCAAAGGAGCGGAGATTAGCTGATAGATTTTGACTTCGGTTCCATTGGCTGAAGCGTGTCGTAGTTTTAATACACGAGGCACCCATTGGCCGCTGCACGTCAGTTGCAACGCACGCCACCTCATGGCGCTGCTTGTCCGCGAGGCAGCGACTCCACCGCTTCACGCCCAAGGTCAGCGCGCCGAGGAGGGCTAGCGCGCGCGCTCGACCGTCGACGCAAGTACGCCGCAGACGGAAAGGGAGCGGAAGAGCGGGATGCATGCTTTTGCATTCACAACTCATAGAAAGTGATTAAGTATACATCGAGCCTTTTAAGTCACACACTGTGTTTCTTAGGCGAGGAGGCTATGCTTAGGCTGGCCGCGCCTTAAATACACTTGGGATTTCAGCTGCGACGGAATAGAGGTACATTTCGCTAAACTAATTGCATCACCTGTCACGGATATATTTTACTTATTTCATTACCTTTAAACTACGTGCGCGCCTCCTTGACGGTTGCTTTGAAGTCGTGTTAATGTGTTTTAATAAAAAATGCTTTCAGCATTTTCTCATTCAAGGAACTGAACTTCTAACAGCGTACTGTCAGAATGGGGATACTATACTCTGCTGGTAATTCTCGGCATAATACGTTATGAAATAATCCGTCTTGATTCAACATCAAATTATGGTATTGTATTCTCTTGTATTGTATTGTATTCTATATTTCGGACAAAACCTTCTGGAATGAGAATTGTTCTCTGACGAGGCACTAGCTGTATACAGTTTTAAATTAGCGAACAATGATATCTTGGTTCCTTGTCTGATGGTCTGGGAAAGCATAATCAAAATAGTAATAGAACATCTCTCGGTCGGTAAAAAATATTTGGTTCACCGCCGTATCTAGTTAATGACATCATTGGTGTATTAATCAACAGGTCCCTCCAATTTCCAAGGGTGTGATCCTAGATGAAAGGCGACAGTTCTAACTATATGACGTTCGCTGCACCACTTCGCACACTAGGCCCATCTCTGACTCACGTGCGTCGCCACAACCTTTATTGTACTCTGCCCACACTTCGCGCGGACATCGAAGGATGGAGCGCCGAGTCGTGCCTAGATCAAGATAACGTCGGACCCACTGCGCCAATTACAAGTGGAGCGCATCTCCGTCAAACGGACTTAATTCATCACACACGATATTCGTGATCACTGCGCTATGCCACGTCTCATCTCGCGATGGACCGTAGGAGCGCTACGAGCCATCAAACCCAATCAAATGCCGAGTGAGTGGCACGTGACCTTTGGGAGGTGCGCAACGACGCGCGAGGCCGCGTAGTCACATGATATGTTCTCTGCGCTGGATTGGCAGGCGTGGTTCGCAGTTTCCGCTGTCGTCCATCCTAAGGTGAAACGATGTGTGGGTATGCAAACCCCAAAACGACAGCTGCTCGATTGAAAGTCAGAGGCTGCTTTACGCCTACCTGCTTTGCGCAGTCCAGGCGAATTCCCACGTGCCCGTTTTATATATTCCGGTTTTCGAATGTACGCTCGATGGATAGAAGGATAATTCTTGCGTCACGAAACTTCCACGAGGCAGCGCATGGGAGAACGGCGGAAGGCAATATCGCACGGATAATCTGTCTAACGAATAATTAATGCATACATATGGGACTACTCAAGTCTCAATCTCCGGTTCGTTGTCAGAATGTATTTGGCAAATGCCTTATCGGTAAGATAGTTTATTAAGTCATAGCATCAGTTTCAACAAAAGGTTTGGTACGCCTTGGGTTAACACTGGGCCAGTTCAAATGAGCTCACTTGTTTCAGATAAGGAAACTTGGAATGCTTCGAAACGATTTCGAAAACAACCGACGCTGAACAAAAATTTTGAACACCGAAGAAAAATATCTAAACAGTTTTAGAAAGCTAGGGGTTCCATCCGCTCATTGTTAGTTTTGACTACAGTAAAAACTCGACAGATCAATGTTTTTTTCAGAGAGAGAAATAATCAACACAATATTTCACTCAATTTCAATGTTCAAATATCTTAACATAATAGCAACTACGCTGCCCTAAATTCTTGACTTATTCCGAGAAGACTTTGGCTGGCTTTTTTTTTTATTTATTTTTTGTCTCAATATTGCATAGGTAATATTCTACGGTGAAGACTGAATACAAACGAAAAGACGGAAGACCCCTTTTTTTTAGGAACGCAATCCGTAAGGAAACACAGAAAATCGGACGGCTGACAACTGACAACTATTTTACTCGAGCCAACTGGACCCGAATAAACCAACTACAAGATCCAGTTGGCGACGCCCGACGCGACGTCCGGCATTACCATAATCGAGTTGAAAAAATCGCAATCCGTGACGCGCGGAGTGGGGTCATGCTGTCAACTTCACCTTCTCCCGCGCACTGCTTGCCTCATGTTGCTATTCTTTTTTTTTACTCTTTTTGCGAGGCACGTGCAAGCTGCTTGGTGGCGGAAGGAAGGAAGCAAGTCGATGAACCTGAACTCTTCTTCTTCTTCGATTGGCGGTTGTCGCACCGCAAACCGGTTTTCCTACGTGGTCGGCGTGTGACAGCGACGTTGTGAAGCTTGCTCCAAGTCACCTTTTGTTTTATCGAGGATCGCTCCGCTCTTAAACGTATGCATGCACGTTCTCGGCGCACAGCTGATCTTGACTCCCAATTTATTCAAGGACGGGAATCGCGTAGTTGGTTGACATCCGGGCACGAAACTCCTGCTCTCTATCGCTTTATTTAGTATGATTTGGGTTCTTTAAGGAGTTCTATACTTTTCTTTACTCCCAAAGGAAGATTCTTTTTCTTTTTCTCGCAGTTGCTCATCTACAGCTGAGACACCAGACGCCCACTAGGCAGACTGACTTCCGGCTGTATAAACAATACACGCCACAACATTTTTTTTTTTTTTTTTGCAGCGCGAGGGAACGTGCGCTAACGCAGTTGTCGCCTAACTCTTCAATGGCAATGGCAAATGGCAGGCAAGGATTTCACATGTAAGTTGTCTTGTTTTTTCTAGGATGTTCGCGTCGTAGAAACTTGTAGAACATTATCACGCACGACATATAGTGTGTAGCTTCATTTCCGTTCAGCTGGCCATTTTCGACAGTACGTGCACGTGCTGCACCGAGCTCGTAAGCTTCAGTTCTCGGGCACTATTTTATTGTAAAAACTCAATGAACCTTAAATTACCGGGTAGTAACGTTCATTGACATGATGCGGCGAGATATACTAAGGCTCAATGTGAATCTGCTGCTCTTTGTATTGACGCGGAATTTGATAGGCCCGGTTTTAATAGTTGATGTGTCCTGATTTGATGGTTCAGCGGCACGGGAGCACATTCATCTTGGTGAAGCCCTGTCAATGTTTGACGGCACTTAGAAAAGAAGTTAAAAAAGGCCGCGCTTCTAAACTGGAAAATTGAGATGGTGAGATGTTTTTGCTCGTTGCTAGACCATAGACATGGCCGACACCGGAAAATCATCACGTCCAACAGTCCTATAAGCTATCGTTACGAGCTTCCCGTCCCTGCAATGTCTGACCCAATCCCAGCAAAATAGGCTCTAAATTTGGCAATAAATGGAACGCGTGTATCTCTAGCTGTACACTATACCAAAGCAAACAAAAATATTATGATGCATATCAACTAGCGCAAGATCTCCGCCATGAAAGCAAGCAAACAACCAAAACTTCAGTTGGGCGACCGATGAGTGTTGTTACTTTTAATTCAAAATTAGAAACGGTCTAAAACGCGAGGCGGGGGCTTAGTGAACGAGGAAACAAGATTAAGGAGGGATAAGCTGGAGCGAATCTCGTTAACTCCGAGCCCGGCGTGCCAATGGGAAAGCACCGCTTTGAAAGTGAAGAGGAAAGGCGAAGCGGCCATTCGAGATGGTTGTTGCTTCAATAGACACGAGCTTTTAAGGGACAGGCTAAAATGATATAGGAAGTGTTTCGGGCAGCGAGCGGTTTAAGACAACAATGGGAAAAGATGATTGCTATTCGATCAGCGTCGACTGGAACGAAATTTGAAACGGAGATGGCATGCGGGTATCGATTATTAGAACGCATGCTGCTTTCGTGTATGTAGCCTCGTGGACTTAGTCAATACCTTTCATGAATGAAAGTGTTCATTTAACGCTTGAAAAGATTACAAAAAAACTTCAAAGCTCAGCAGATCACGGCATAATTTTTAGGTGTAAACGTTTAATAGACTGTAATGGAAAACGATACTTGTTGATCGCAATTACCAAGATCCTGTAGAAAATGCTCTTCTTGGCAGTTATCTCGGGAAGTAATAATCAACAAAAAAAATATTTATGCGTCAGTGTGAGATCTACCTGCATGAAAATTGGATTTGGCGAAATGCTATGGAAGATGTATGTGCATTGGCAGCAATAAATATTAGCTTGTTAGTAACGGACGACCCATGTCGCCTTTATAGGGGGTTATGCACATGGGTATTAAGCTCGGAAGCTTAAACTGAGCGTAAAAGTAGAAAAAAGTAAAAACAAAAGTCAGCCTATAAATTGTTGTTTTTAACTCCCGCCATACACTGTAAAAAATTTGACTAATCTAGTTTCCCGCAAAGTACTCGGGAGAGTCAATAGCCGTAATCTACGGAGAAACTCCAAGGATTAAAAGGCTACTACGAGAGCGTATCATATGGGATTTGTCCAGCGTATATTTGGTCATAAACTTGGTGATTTTTGTTTCGTCGTTAGGGAAATATTTATCCGAAACAAATTATTTAGGTGTATGAACCAAGAGAAAGAAGCAAATAGAACCTCTTCTAGCCTAAACTATTTTAAAGTTCGCATAAAAAAGTATAATATTGGATGAACATGTTAATATCGTTTACTAAAAAAATATTACCGCGTCTATGCTCTCTAAAACAAATTAAGATAGCCCGAACTCGCACCCCCGCTTTTTTAGATGCTTTACCATCGTGTCGAAAA